ACACACACACACACACACACACACACACACACACACACACACACACACACACACACACACACACACACACACACACACACACACACACATACCATGTGTGCTGCGTCATACTATGTGATTCCATGGCCCTAACACAACACACAGCTACAGAAAAAGAAAAAGAAAAAGCGCGCACACACACTAACACTAAGGCACACCTCGACCCTCAGCACAGCTAGAGGGTACTGTGTGGGCTGGGTGGTATTATGTAGACCAGGCGATACCATGCGGGCAGGAAGGCACCATGTGGACAAGCTCGCACCATCTGGACCAGACAGTTAACGCACACAGGGACACTCACACTCACACACACACACACACACACACACACACACACACACACACACACGCACACACACACAAACGGCCACAGAGAAAAAATAACTGCACATGGCCAACGTTAGGTAGAACTCGGCCCCACTCGCTGCCAAGCGGCACTATCCAGTATGAGAGGTCTTACGTTGCCTCGGTGATACTACGTGGCTTGGGTGGCACCATGCGACGCACATTATACCATGTTCCTGCTTGTTGCTGAGTTTTCCAAGTCTGTGTGGGTGCGTGCTTGCTGGTCTGCGTGCCTGTCTGAGTGCCTGTCGGCTTGAGTGTGTGTGTGACCCGCAAGGGCACTTGTTTGTTTGGAAGGCCCAAAGGGCCGGTACTTACCTGTGGCCGTGACATTGAGGGCTGCAGCGGGGAAAACACTCAAGTGGCGGGGAAAGAGGCCCGTGACACTTAGAGCAGCGGAAAACAATCAAGTAGGCCGGTACCACACCAAGTAGAGGTAGATGTGCCGGGTACTTTAGGCCGAGCAGAAGAAGACAAAAGTTGGCATTTTTAGAGGCCCAGTAGTTGTAGTCTAGGTCTAGGCGGGTACCAGTCCAACCACTCTGAATCTAGGGCCTGTACGGGCAATATCAGAGTCTGCAATGATGTTACACTCAAGTAGGACGGTACCACACCAAGTAGAGGTAGATGTGCCGGGTACTTGAGGCCGAGCAGAAGAAGACAAAAGTTGACATTTTTAGAGGCCCAGTAGTTGTAGTCTAGGTCTAGGCGGGTACCAGTCCAACCAGTCTGAGTCTAGGGCCTGTACCGGCAATATCAGAGTCTGCAATGATGTTTCCCTCCGAAAGGGAGGAGGTACCGGTTGCTTGGAGGCCGCGCGGCCTAGGAAGTCACTCGCCAAGAGGCAAGCAGGCCGCTATATCTCCAGGAGGAGCAAGGTGCTCCTCCTCATTATCAGTGTGCAAGTTTGGCGACGCACTGATTGGAGTTCTGGCTGGAGCAGCGCTAGCAAGGAGCAGCACTGCTGGGGAGGAGCAAGGACAGGAGGAGGAAGAAGACCTGGACTAGGAAGGGGGAGCTCCAGAGGTACTTACCTGGCTATGGTGGTTGCCTTCTTCATCACCTTGGTGGGCGGTGCAGCAGGAAGGCCCCAGTTGGGGTTGAGATACACCAAGAAGCTTTGAGGCAGAGTCAGGCATGGCGGCCTGAGCTAGAGCAGCCATAGCTGCTTTGTGTTGTCCTTTGGACAGAAGGGCGAGGCCCTGGTAGTCCCCCATAGCCTCGGCCTTGGAAGGAGGAGGAAGAAGGTGGCCATGGCTATGGTGGACCTCATGTGATACCTGCAGTAGAAGAGGGGCTCGGACATTGATTCTGGTTCAGCCATTCAACATTGTTATTATTATTTCTTGTTTGAATAAGAGGGGAGGAGATAAGGAGGAGGAGAGTGGTTGGCGAAGAAGAAGAGCATTATCATTGGTCTATGCCGGTGTACATCATCTTCTTCTTCTTTCTTTCTTCTTATTCTTCTTCTTCTCCCCCTCTCTCTCCTCTATAGTTCATCCATTTCTTTTTGCAATTGGACGGCATTGTTACTTTTCTGATGAATGCGTACTTCAAAATTGGCCAGGACCATAACACACACCCTGATTCCATGCACTTCAAACCTATGACCTGTCTACAAGCACTTAGGTTTGTGCTGCTCATTTACGCGGTTCAGGCGTGGACTTGTATTTGAGTGACGGTGCGTGTTGTATGCGAATACAGCATGCAGACAGCAAACACATGTGGTTAACCGGGGGTGTTTTTTTTTACATCATGTGTTGAGTTTTGACATGTTTGGATCATTAATGAAAAAGTTGGCATCTCATTGGATTCGTTGAACGCTTCATTTTAACTCGGAGAGTGTTTTTGTGTTAGGGTTTTATAGCGTTTTTGTGTGTGTGTTTTGTCCGTTTTCCAACCTTTCTTTGGCCTGTTTTTTTCTTTTTTTTTTTATGTTTGCACTATCGGCCCATATAGTTTATTTTTGAAATTCTTGCTGAAAATTCCACCGAAACTGTCGGCAAAAACAACAAATTTTCGGCCCTCCGTTAACCGCGTGTGGCCTCCGTGCGGCCCTCCCTCCCCCGCCGCTCCAAAACGGCAAAACGGAAGAAGCACAAAAACGACCCCCCCCCGCTCTCCCTCCCACACCGCGCTGTGACACAGCGCAATGAGAAGAAGAAAAAAAAGAGCATGGAATGATGAGTGGCCCTTCCTTTCCCACTGCACCGTGCCACGACAACCACCACTCCAAGCGAAATGCCGTGCACCCCTCCCTAAGAGCTCCCGCCGCCATCAGTGCCACGGTCCCACCAGTCGTCAGGTCTTGCGTGGGTCCGTTGTGCAAGACTCCCCCCGCTTATCCTTATACAGAAGAAAGTTCAAGAAACAGAAAAATATAGTGATGACACGCACAAATCATGAGTTCACATTCCAATGAATGCAATTGATTATTGAACGAATACAATACCCTGAGGGTCTAACCTGCCTTAGAAAAAAAAGAAGAAGAAAACTCTGAAAAAGGAAACGATTGCAAACACAGACCAGTGTGAAGTACGTCTCACCTTGCCCTGCAAGAGAGCGGCAGGGATGCACCTTTCTTGAATAGGCGTAGGTGTCTTGAAGCCGAGCTTCGAGATCGCGCGTAGGATTGTCGGGTGCAGTTGGTACTTTGTCCATGCAGTGACATCAACCTCCTCTCTCTTCGGACAACCATGGCCAGGATCTCCTTTGCCCTTCTTCTTTCCATGTTGCCTCCCTTTCCCCACACCATCTGCTGCTGGCTTCTTTGCAATCGTATCATCATGGCCAGGATCTCCTTTGCCTTTCTTCTTTCCATGGTGCCTCCCTTTCCCCACATCATCTGCTGCTGGCTTTGCAATCATATCATCATGGCCAGGATCTCCTTTGCCCTTCTTCTTTCCATGTTGCCTCCCTTTCCCCACACCATCTGCTGCTGGCTTCTTTGCAATCATATCATCACCACCCTTTTGTCGTTCTGTTGGCTTTCCCATCACATCAACACCCCCTTTTTCCAAATTGCCAGCTTCCGTACTGTGACCATCATCGTCACAAGAGGTCACACCCGGCGTCGCTTCAGCGTCGGTTTTCTGCTTCTTCCTCTTCTTGATGGTTGTCTTCTTTGCTTCCTTCTCCTCTTCTCCACTGTGTAATTTCATCTGCCCCATCTCCTCCACCCTTGTCAGCCCAACGACTCTCGACTTCTTCACCTTTGTCAGCCCACCGGCCTCTCTGTTCTCATGCTTGCTTCTGGCAAGTTTTTGCTTGTTATCGGCAGCCTCACCTTCACCGATAGGAACCGTGCCCTCGGCAGCCGCCCCTCTCATCTTGGACTTTATCATCTCCTTCCTCCTCCTCTCCCTCTTCCGCAAGTTCTTTCTTCTTTGTCTCTCTATAGCCTTCGGCGTCTTCTCTTCCTTGTCGTTCCTGAGCTTTCTGCGGGCTGATCGGTCCTTGTTTTTCTTCCGCTCAACCTCTTCACCTCTTGCTCCCTGCTCCTTGCCAGACGCTTCTCCGAGCTTCTCTCTTTCGCAGTTCTCCGCTCGCTCCGCACACTCCAAGGAAGCAGCAACATCCCTCTCACCGGTTGGTTTGCATTTCTTACTCCTCTCCTTCGGCTTCAGACCACACCGCGCCGCAATCACTTCATCAGGAGAAGCTTCCGGAACATCCTCAAAGAGTGTGTTGCTAAAGGCGCCGCTAGCCGTAACGGGCGCAGTCAATTCCTCCAGGGAAAGGAAACCTACAAGACAACCATACAATTGGGTCGCTTGTTTTTTCACGATAGGAATTAATTCCACGGCACAGAGAGTGTGCTGTATAGGTGTAAATCTCACTTCGGCTTTCCTGTTGTGAATTGCCATTTTTATGATTTTTTTCCTCTTTTGATCCTCTGTTGGATTCGACACGATCTGGTGGTGTCCGCAGCCTTTTTAGGGTGGCCTTTGCAGCCTTCGAGGGAACCGCATCACCCATTTCATCTCTACCCCATGATGAGAGAATCAACCAGCACCAGCGCGAACAAGACACTTTAAAGATTAACAAGATAGTTTCAAAACTGCAATCAGACTTGGCTCATCTGACTTCAAACTCACTTCAGCGTGCATGCAAACAGATGACGAACAAACTAACCTACGTGGCAGCTATGGCTCCCATCTTCCTCCTATTAACTTGCGGCTATGCCCGCGTCTTCCTCCTCTTAGCCCTCTTCTTCCTCCGGCACCTGCAGACCTCCGTAGCACAAGACGCTCCGACAGCGCTTCTGCATGGCTCACAGGCAGAAGAGCAAGGAGCCAGGACCCTAAGGCCCTGTTTTCAAAAAAGAAACGGATTCGCTCATTTCGCTTACTTCTTTGCTATTTATTTAATAGTTTTGGTGCACCACAGCGCTTCTTGACACACCGTACAGCATACCACACAAGTGGGTCACAATTATGGTACCATGCAGGAACCAGGCAGGTACAGAAGAAACCTCGATTTGTCAGCAGAGTCCCGACGGCGTACACCACTCACCCACCAGGCAGGTAGAGATGAAATGTGACCCATTTATCTGCAACTCACCGTCATCACGGGAGGGAAGGGTATGCCTGATCCCGTGGGCCATCACTATCACAGGATTTTCTGGGAACAGGTTCATGTGCACGTCCTTAGTCACAAATCACAGGAGAGAAAAGTGGAGGGAGGCACACCCTCAGCCAGAAATCACAGGACTAGAGGGTGGATGCACATTCTCAGCCACAAATCACGGGAGTAAATGGGGGAGCACATCCTCAGCCACAAAAAAAAAATACACATCCTGTTTCAAGAAACTCCACCCTGAGCCGGTGATTAAGACTGAAAGGGATAATCATTCAAGTCATTCCAACTTTGAAAAAGACGCCAACCCCCATCATATCCTTATGGTTTTGCTCAGGTGCTTCCCCCATCCAATATGTGGTCTCGGGGAAGTAATCAGCATCCATCTCTCAGAGGGCAGAACCCATCAGGCAGAACACTCTGTGTCACTCTAAAAGACAAGTAAAAACAAATGAATCAATGGTAATCATAATCCGATCAACAGATCCCATACCACCATGATCACAACACAATCACATGCTCTCTCTCTCTCTCTCTCTCTCTCTCTCTCTCTCTCTCTC